TCGTGATGATCTGGGCATTTGTGTTTCCTGACACGAGCGCCCGCATGATGGAGGCGTCTACAACTCGACATACCCTTCACTCTGAAAAATAGCATAGGACAAATATGACAAGATACATTTGATCCAGTAAATAAACAAGGCGTAAAGAAATGTGTGCAGCAAACCTACCTTCTCATGCAAGTGCCTATGCTGTCAATCAATCAATCTTTATTGTATGAAAGGCAATTGGCCCATATGCACATATAGATAAACAATATCATTTACAGCTGTACAGCACATTATATAATTATTGGATAACTGATATGAAGCTTGACATGTAATAGAGGTATTGTAAGTGCAAGTGCCTATGCTGTCATGACGCGAAACATGTGTAACCCAGAAGGTAAAACAAAATTGTAATTTGCATGTGGTACCTTCAGAATTAGGAATAAGAATATGGCACATTCCAGTTTATGTATTTATGTCATATAAAAGTAGAAAACAAACACATCATTAAAACAAAACTAGTAAAGGTAAATTCATATATTGCTGTAGATTGTCACTACGATAGTTTGGATTTTTGGGGTTTTTTTCTTTTCTTTTCTTTTCTTTTCTCAAGGATGGGTTGTAGCGAGGGTATCCTTGAACGGGCATGCAACCAAACTCTATGACTTAGCCCAGAGTATGCTTAGACGCTACGTTCAAAATTAAAGGGTCTAAATGATGAGAAACAACGCTTCTGTATGAATTCGCACTTGGGAATTCCCAGGGTTTTCCCCAGGAATGTGGAAGTAGTCAGTGTTTACGTCATTTCAAGAATACAGTCACGTGAAAAACGTCACGTGACCCACCTTTCGTCCTATGGAAAAGCCGTATATCGTGTAAACTTCACATTACAAAATTAGTTACTATTATAACCAAATTAAACACTACCCATTATCCGATAGAGGTAACTGTGCATAGCGGAGGGATATGTTATCTCAATAAACTTGGTAACATGTATTGGGTTGACTTCTTGGCGCGTGTCTGAATTCCATTAACATGTTACATATCCTAAAACTGACTAATCAGCAAATCTCGCTGCACTGCGCGCGACAGATACTAGAGCAAGGCATGCCAGAAACACGAAACCTAATGCTTCCGAAAGGAAGCCGTGGGCATCACGTGCGTCGGGGGACCAGCGCGATCTGATTGGCCGTTAACAGTTGTACAAGGCGGAGCAAAAAGCACCGTTTTTCCGTCTATTTTACGCTTGAAAAACTCGACGCTTTTCCAAGCACTTTCTAGACGCTAACCAATTAATCAATTTTAATGAATTTTTAGTCGTTTTTCCGTCCAATGACCATATACGGAAAAAACGACGTTTTCGTGTTTGCAGTGTTATGTTGGTGATCGACAAGTTGTCACATATCTATTTCTTGTGTTATACTATGGGTTGTTTACGCAGAGTATGTGAATTAGTTAATAGCAAATTTTATGAAGTGTGAGCTAGATTTCAGGAGACAATAATGACTGAATGAGTTGTGTTTAACGCCGCTTTGAACAATATTCAAGCTATATCAAGGTGTGTTAGCTTGGTGTAGGAAACGTTTACCACTTTGGTGAAACCCACGAGAAAGGGTATGGTGCTGACAAACCTACAAATTTTTACAAGGACTCTCATATACAACCCTATGCATGCCGAACATTGGTGTACCTTGATGAGGCACAAATACAGTGACAATAGTGAGAGTGTTGTTCGTTTTTGTTTCATAAATGATGAGAGGTTCATCGATGACTAAGTAGCCATGGTCTGTTGTATGTCATTCATTCCTCTGGGGGGCCCGAAAGAATAGACGCAGGTTTAATCCTATTACTATACCTTTTTTTACTTGACTTTGCATGAGTGCCACCGGTGGGACAGGATATGTAACCTTTTCGCGAACAGCTAGTATCATCACAACTTGATAGTGATTCAATTCTTTATTTCGTATAGATGAAGGCCATCGATCCATGGTGCATTATCTTATACAGTATACCGCTCAGTTCAGGTATACATTGTAACACTACGTCGAGGATGTAGATGACAATAATATAAGTTTCCTCACATTCCTTGCATGGTAGATACTGGTAGCTTAATTTCTTACAACTGTCAGAGCACTCGGACCATGGTGTCGAATTGCTGAAATGGTTAGTTCGAGTCGTCGGCGAAGGATCCAACTGCGTGCAGTAATATAGTACACATGGTATGATGCATACGGTAAACTTCTTTAAAACTACATTTGTGAAAGTGGTAAGTCATAGCTATTATTCGAGGGGCGTTCAATAAGTTTTGCAACTTGTGCATTTGTGTTTACACAAACAATGTCAACTTGTTGCAGGTGTGACACTAGTCATAACATCAGGTTGACGCGTGTCATAACAATTCCAGACACAACAATAAGTTATATGTGATGGCTTCATTCACCTAAGGGTGGTCACAATCAGTGGATTCTCTCAAACATGAGCAATGCGCTGTAATAAAGTTCCTTACATGCTCCGGTTCACAAGTCGAGAATTGCACAGACCGCCATATGTGAATGTGGATTCGAACAGTTAAATCATCTATCCTACAGCCCAGACTCAGCCCCGAGAGACTATTTCCTGTTCCGGCAAATGAAATCTGCCCAACGTGGACGACGCTTCCAGGTTGACGAGGACATAAAGGCTGCCACAGAGGCATGGTTAGAGGGCCAATCTGCGGATTTCTATAAAAGTGGTATTCAAAGCTTGAAGGACAAACGGAATGAGTGTATTGAGTTGAATGGAGGTTATATTGAAAAATAAAAGTGCAAAAGATATTCTGCGACTTTGCCTTATATTGAAGTTGCAAAACTTATTGAACGCCCCTCGTATAAGTATCTTTCACAATGGCCCAGAAATGACAAATGTATTATTATCAAATCAACATTGCAAGTGGACATGGAAAAGAAGTCGCAACTCACAATGCGTGTTGAGAACTATTTGGCATTATGCGACAGGGACAATATGTCTGTATGAAAGGTATAATCAAGACAAAAGATATGTGCGATAAACTGCCAGTTAAATATATCATATGAGTCAGACGTTTCATATTATACATATATTGCAGATTGGTACATAAATTGGTACATACAGCCTTCTAGAAACTGTCCGTTCCTGAACTTCTCGAAGGGTCAATCCTGTCCTGTTTCTAACAATATACTGGCTGTCCTTGTCTGTCACTAAAATCTGTCCACGAAGGCACTCGACATTTTACCAGCGCTTCATGCGTCTTCTGCCACTGACATTCACTACAAATAAGCTCACACCAATCGATACTGCCACATACAAAATGTTTATGAAAATTTTAAACAAATAGCAATTTACGAAACCTTTTTTCTGAAGTTGAATCATGCATTGTATAAAGAAGCAATATGCTAGTAAGTGCAAAGAAACGTCTGATTGCCACTTTATATGATGCTGCAAAGTATCAAACATACCGGAAAGAACATGAAGAATTGATTCAATATTTATATATCGCAGTTATCTCTACATGTGGATCGGTGCACGCTATTGCAGGACGGGCTTCACCGATGTGGGCACACGAGCCTAAAAGTACTCTGATTGGTTGCCATGTAGCATTCTCACCCGAACTGTGTTCTGTGACTGAATGAGAGACTTGAATGACTTTCACTAAGACAATTCATGTGTATCGGCCATAAAATTCATGTCAGATTTTGTAAACTAGTCTTTGGAGAGGATTATTTAGTATAGTATTCGGAGGGGAGTAGTTGCTATAATATTTGAAGGGGAGTATTTGCTATAGTATTTGGAGGGGAGTATTTGCTATAGTATTTGGAGGGGAGTATTTGCTATAGTACTTGGAGGGGAGTATTTGCTATAGTATTTGGAGGGGAGTATTTGCTATAGTATTTGGAGGGGAGTATTTGCTATAGTATTTGGAGGGGAGTATTTGCTATAGTATTTGGAGGGGAGTATTTGCTATAGTACTTGGTGGGGAGTATTTGCTATAGTATTTGGAGGGGAGTATTTGCTATAGTACTTGGTGGGGAGTATTTGCTATAGTATTTGGAGGGGAGTATTTGCTATGGTATTTGGAGGGGAGTATTTGCTATAGTATTTGGAGGGGAGTATTTGCTATAGTATTTGGAGGGGAGTTTTTGCTATAGTAATTGGAGGGAAGTGTGGAGTTTTACAAGAAGAACAGTTGTTTTGAACATATGAGAAGTTTATGCAGTTCCCAACCAAAGGATGCATACATCATATAGGCCGATGGAACATTATATGAGTCACCACGTGTGTCGGAACAGACAAACACTCTTCGTGTAGGGGTGGGGGCGGTCGGGTAGCCTAGTGGTTATAGCGTTTGCTCGTCACGCCGAAGACCCGGGTTCGATTCCCGACATGGATACAATGTGTGAAGCCCATTTCTGGTGTCCCCCGCCGTGATATTGCTGGAATATTGCTCAAAGCGGCGTAAAACCATACTCACTCACTCACTCACTTGTGTAGGGGTCCGGGGACACGTATACTGTATTCAGAAACACAATGAAATGTCTGTGGTGAATATTTATGACAACCTTGGGCTTGTGATGATCAGCCCAGCAAAATATTATGTTCAACCTATCTACTCACGTATAGGTGCTAAGATAAGTAAATGATCCACTAAAAATATATGTCTTTTAGTTTTCATTCTGTGCATCCCTGTTAACAGTAAACTGGGTTCATCAATAAAGGATTTTTCCACGTTATCTGCTGAAGAGTTATGAAATAATTCCACGAATCTATAATGAAATATAAAAGCATCACCAGAATTATGCGATGTGAATACAAAAACCGCTATGATATTTACTGTTACTTTTAATTTTGGCCGGCTATTGACTATGCATTCGTGACCAACTCGTGTTATTCCGGAACAAGCCGGAAACAGGCGAGTGGTTACGAGATCGGACTTTTGGCTACAGACCGAAACAGACTATAACCTTATCTCCTGTTGTACAGGGGATTGCCACGGTGAGTGAACATACATATACTGGCGATTGCCAAAGTGGGAATACCCACCTACGTTGTCTAACCATCAAAGCCCCTCATCCATGACAATAACTGGCTTGTCTATTTGCTATTGTTCACCTGTTCTTGCAAATTAGACGAAGCAGGTTGATACCAAAGGTGAGCATATCCTGCACTAATATAGCCACTTGATACAGACGCAGAGTAGTTCCGGTCCGTGACCATACGCTGTCAGGGAACTCACCTCCTGCCGTGTATCTGGGTCGAGTGCATTAAAGCGTCAGGTTGACCTGTTTATGCTGGGCCTGGATACGGGGGATCAGCGCTACACGGGTAAGGTGTACCGCATTTCCACATTGCCACTGTATACATGTCTGAATCTGTTATTAATATGAATAGGCATTAATACACCAACAATTACATGAGAGTTTGTAAACAAACAACTTTTATGTCATTTAAGACGAACTGTTGCGTTTGGATTTATATCTTTTTGAGATTTGATCGGTACAATCTTTCAACAAACGGACTATAGTGTACATATCTCCCAAGGACGAGAGGACAGTGACCCACGAATCGCCCGAGTCGAATGGCAACTATTATTGGGTAGTTGTTTCGCTATATGTGTATATTACCAGCCTAAAAGTACTTCATTGAACAAATCTCCACATTTGACTCAAGATGTGGTATTGTGTCGCTTTTTAACGCCTTTTCCACATTTTTGTAGATGGGGCGACAATGCGACATTGCAAATATTTGAATCGGGAGGTCAGGGTCAGTGACGTCAGTATGTGTTGCTCATGATATCAGTCACGGGTTTGTCTGGCCCATACTCGATAATTTAACTTCATTGTTTTACGCTACATTTCTTTGATTCAGCAAAACTTGGTTTCAGGCAAATAACTTTTCATTGTCTTGCAGGAGGACGTCAGAATGCCGTCATTAACGTCGCTGATAGTCGTCGTCAATGTCGTCATCCTTGCCATTGTCGTTCGTCTGTATGTCTTTCCGACAGACACTAGCAAAGTCATCTCACCAGCACTAAACACAACGTATGACTACATTATAGGTAAGTAGAAGGCCACATATTATTGATATAAAAACAACAATCTCGAAAAACTTAACACATGTGACGTTTGTGACTCACAGTTGTTCCAACAGAGATTTTACATTAGGACGATGGAATCGTGTTCGGACAACGCGTTTGTGGTGGCAGACAAGATACGTGTCTACCTTAGGACTGCACCGCCCTTGTAGGAATGGCACAATCAGTAAGTGAGTGAGTTGGATTTAACGTCGCTTTTAACAGTATTCCAGTTATATCATGGCGTGTCAGCTTAATATGGGAGGAAAGCCCCAAGTGATGCAGGTCTCAGACGTTTACCACTTCGGTGAAACTCACAAGCACGGGTATGGTGCTGACAAACCTAGAAACATAATCTGGGCAAACCGGGATTCGAACCCACAACCGTAGGTTTCTGGCGTGCCCAAGGGACGCAATCGCGGCGCCTTACACGACTGGCCCACCCGTGCCCCCACAATCAGTAAGAAGTATGTTTGTGACTGAACCTTAGAGGGAGGGGTAGCGAGGGCCTTGTGGTCAAACTGGTTGTTCGTCACGCTGAAGGCGGGGTACGACACCCCCCCCACCCCCCACCCCCACCCCCCCCCACCCCCCCACCCCCCGTAAAATGCCCACCTCTAGAGTGAGTGAGTATGAGTGAGTATGGTTTTACGCCGCTTTTAGCAATATTCCAGCAACACCAGAATTGGGCTTCACACTCTATTCCCATGTGGGGAATCGATCTCGGGTCTTCGGCGTGACGAGCGAACGCTTTAACCACTCGGCTAACCCACCGCCCCCTCTCGTGTGGAACATTGCTAGAAACTTACTCTTAAATATCTGGAGACCGCCTCCGTGGTCAAGTGGTAGAGCGGAACGTCCGGGGTTTGATCCCAAGCCGCGTCATACCAAAAGACGTAACAAGATGGCACTTGTTGTTACCCTGTTTGGCGCTCGGTATCGAACCCGGGTCTTCGGCGTGACGAGCAAACGCTTAAACCACTAGGCTACCCGACCACCCCCAGTGTATTTAGGAATTGTTGAGCTGATGTGATCTTTTTACAAGAAGATAGTGTAGAAATGATCTGACCTAAATACACAGTGTATATTGTCCATTGCCATAGCACACTGTATCCACGGTTGTCTAGCCATCGCGTGTTGTTTGTAACTTACAACTCAAGACTATTCGTCAACACAACCAAATGCAAATATATGTCGGCCATTAGGAGTGTGTTTCGGGCTTGTTGAACTTCTGTAATAGTGCTAAAACTATTGCTGGTTCTGTAATAGTTCATGTGCTGTTAAGAGTATATTTACGCTCGAACAATGCTGATGATGTTGCATTTAATTTCATTTCATGTTGTAAGCTTTGTTCGTTTGTTGTTTAACGCCGTATTCAGCAATATTCCAGCTATATGACGGCGGTCTGTAAATAATCGAGTCTTGATCAGACAATCCAATGATTGACATCATGAGCATTGACCCACGCAAGTGGGCTACGATGACATGCATCAACAAAGTCAGCAAGCCTGACCAGACGATCCCGTTAGCCACCTCTTACGACAAGCATAGTCGCCTCTTACGGCAAGCATGGGTTGCTGAAGACCTGTTCTACCCCGGATCTTCACGAGTCTCTAAGCTCTTGGCTAAGCAGAAGTTGTTGAAGACAGTTGGATCAGTATCTGCAGGATCTGGCTCAGCATCCCGTCTCCCCGAAGATGATCAGGCAATTAACCACAACCACTCACTCAGTAATCGGTTTTATTGCATACTTTAAGTTGTGACCAAGCAATGAACATTAACCCTCACATTGTTCCGTTCATCTAGAATTACTGAATTTAGTACACATCACGTTTGTGCTATATTTCCTGTAAAGGTCACACTGACGTCTTCCATATGTTCACGGCGTTACAACTTTCACCCACGGATGTCAATGATATCCGAGCCGATCCGAACATGTTTGTATTTCTTTCCAGTTGGAGCAGGATCCGCAGGTTCTGTTTTGGCGTCCCGCCTGTCCGAAGAAGATCACGTGACTGTCTTACTTATTGAGGCCGGAGGGGATGACCGACAGGAGCCACTTGTGGATATCCCATTACTTGCAGGATTGACTTTGGGGAAACACCAATTCGACTGGCAGTATTTGACTGAACCACTTAAGCATGCAGGAGGTGCTCTCGAAGATAGGGTAATACCTTACAAACGTTTGTGTTTAAAAAATAATTATATATTATAATTATATAATTATAATGCCAGAGAACAACCAGCCTCGATTATCTGCCCAAACATAATCCAATGGACATGTTGCAAACAGAAGGGGCACGGGTGGCCCAGTCGTCTAAGGCGCCGAAATTCGCTGTGCAGAGTTGCGTCCCTTGGACACGCCAGAAACCTATGATTGTGGGTTCGAATCCCGGTTCGTCCTAATTATGTTTCTAGGTTTGTCAGCAACATACCCGTGCTCGTGGGTTTCGCCGAAATGGTAAACGTCTGAGACCTGTATCACTTCGGGCTTTACTCCCACATGAAGCTGACACGCCGTAATATAACTGTCATACTGTTAAAAGCGTCGTTAAACCCAACTCACTCACTGTTGCAGACAGTTGCTATTTGTGTTATGGCGGAAAAGCGCATCATGGGTCAATTGTAAACTTAAAGTCTACGCACAGTTCATAGCTATATTGTGGATAACACGTGTTATTATCCTCATAGGCATACATGAAAATGAATTGATAACTGATAACATTTTACAGATCGATCAATAGTCAAATTGACCACGCACCAAGCCACTGGTCCAGACTACGGAAGCGTAGTAGGGTCACGGTGAATTTTGTTTTGTCTAAGTATCTCCTAAGTCCTATATAGGAGATAGTAAGTCCTATATGTAGGAGATAGTGACTCTAGGCCATACTAAATCCTACGTAGGAGAGAGTAACCATACTAAAATCCTACGTAGGACATAGTAAGTCCTATGTAGGACATAGTAAGTCCTACGTAGGACATAGTAAGTCCTACATAGGTGATACTAAGTCCTACGTAGGAGATACTTAGAGAAAAGAAATTTCACCGTGGCCCTACTACGCTTCCGTACAAGACATACCAGGCCAGACTGATGTTGTAAAGCGTATGTGGTCGAAAAAGGTCGAGCCTTAAAATTGATTTTCCTTTTAAAACGACGTACACCTCTTATTTCAGCATGCAATTGTACAGAACTGATTACAGGGGAGAATTTGGTATTTGTGTAAATTGTTAAACTATAAAGAAAACTAATTAGAATAATGGGCTCTTAATACAACCCTTAACATCTTTATAGAAAACGAGAAGAGTTTCCACTTTTGTACTTTAAAAACTCCCGGTATAATTTGAAAGACAACGACCACAATTACCGTTGACTTTACAAATATATGTTTAGGCAAGTGTTCATTCATGTTGTATATAATCTTTATCTCTTGCACAGAGATCATTCTGGCCGCGGGGAAGACTTCTAGGTGGTTGCAGTCAAATCAATGGCAACGTCTATGTCAGAGGTCATCGTCACGACTACGACAACTGGGCTGCCAATGGGTGTGATGGATGGACGTATAAAGATATCCTTCCCTACTTTAAGAAGTCCGAAAATAACCAAGTAGAAGGCCTGTCACCAGGTGAATCTATACATATAACGCTCATAGTTAGAATGAGGAATGACCGAAAGGACATTTGACCATGTCACAGTTGGCCCGGTTGTCTAAGGGACCGGAACCCGTGAGTTGCGTCCACCACGCATGCGAGGATGTTATATTCGTGGATTGGAATCTGCCCCGTGAATATCCGGGTACGAACAGGTCTTCAGCAACCCATGCTTGCCGTAAAAGACGGATATGCTTGTATGGGGCGGCTAACGGGATCGGGTGGTCAGGCTCGCTGACTTGGTTGATGCATGTCATCGTATCCCAATATTGTGGATCGATGCTCCTGACTTTTTGAGCAGACCGCCGTCATACAGCTGGGATATTGCAGAGTGCAGCGTTAAACAACGTACTAGGGAAACTTGGAAAGGGTTTGAATCTAAGATTATTGCTCTTGGTATATCAGCACCAGCACCAGCTACCTTCACACTTTCATGCCCAAGCTTTCCTTGGATTGCCATCGCTGGAACAAAAATTACATTTTGATTTAAACATATTTTATTCAGATTGAAATGGATTGGGAACAAGTTATCCACCATACCCCTCTCCATGGTATTTACAAAGCTTGTACAGTAAATCATATACAAGGAAAACAGAAAAGAAGATGAGTGTAAAGATAACAAGAAATGTACAAGAGAGAGACTAGTATATGTACATCAAAGTGTTACCCAAATATCTTTGTATGACTTATAATCATTTGCACTGCTTTAAAGATGTGTTGATTTTCGATAATGGACAAACATTCATTTCCGTTTAACATCAAACTTAAATCTAATTTAACATTTTTGTTCACGGCGTTCTGTAAAATGTCCCGAATTATTATTAACATAGTTTTTCTTTGGTGGACGTACAATGGACACTTTAATAAATAATGATGTGCGTTTTCACATGGATTACCACATTGACATATTGGATCACATTTTATCTCTATTCTGTATAAATCATAATTTAACTGACTCTTCGTGTATCTTAATCGAGTATGATAAATATTCAACTTTCTAACACCATAGGAAAAATATAAAGATTACATGTCGAAGGGAACATTAAATCTATCTCATTTACGACAATACTATTATTCCTTGCAGAGTACCATGGGGTCGGTGGACCGTTGACCATCAGCAGTGCACAGAGACAACCGGTAACAGAGCGGATATTCAAGGCAGGCCTTGAGTTGGGGTATAAAGAGACGGACGTGAATGGCGCGGAGCAGGAAGGTTAGGACATACAGACTTACAGATACATTGTCATGGTGCTTGTTCAACATCCATTTCATCATGCTTTGTATCAATGTGAGGACGCGTGTGTGTTGGAAGAATACCTTACTGTACATTTATCCCTATTTGTCATGCAATGGATACTATTATCGATGCAATAAACCAATCCCATAGACTTGGTATGACGACCCGATAAATATGCAAATGAGGTCGCTTAGAGGGGATTACTTTTCATAAGGCTCGATACATCGATACCAACTCGCGTGGCAAACTATTGCATATCGTTCTCAATACTCTTAGCTGAAACGTTCCCGAAGTGTGAGTGCTTCTGTAAATAACACAAATGCAAAGTATTTGGCACTAGATATAATCTTCAGAAAGTAGTGGATAGTCGGAAATAAATTTACATTTCCAAAATTATAAGAAATATTAGTCTCTTGTAATAGTTCAATGATAATACTGAACGGATTGGGACGAGCGATAGTGAAGTACGAGGACTCCATAGTTGCATAAAACGATGGGAGAAGTGTGTAACTCTTGGTGGTTCCTATGTGGAGAAAGACTAATACCTATGCCAAGTTTCATTCCACTAGGTCCATCGGAAGTGGGTCAGGAGAAATCTTTAATGAACACCCCTCATATGACAGTTATGTTATGGCCGCCAAAGATATTGAAGGACGATTAGGGTAATATGGGAAATTTCAAAGTAGACGGGTTTATCAGTGGTGCATAAGACCGCCACGAATTGTCAAACATTCATTCACTCGACCAGGCATACTTGTCTCCAAATTGCGATATCCCACTTCTCTTCGAGTGGCTGTCCAAGTTTCATTCAACGTGGTCGGCGACCTATGGCGTTGACGCACACGTCTCCTTTTAATGTCCAAGACGTTTTCAATGAGCGAAAGGTTTGAGCTCATTGCTGGCCATGGCATTTTATGGATGCTACTGGCGGTGACCATTGACGACTCGTGCATGGTGAGCTCGGGCGTTGTTTTCCTGGAAGACAAAACGTCGACCCATGCGCCGCAGAACGGGACAACAAAGAGTGTCAGTATGTGGTTCCGATAGTACTGTCCAGTGACCCTTCCATGCACAGTGTGGGTTCAGTCAGTCATAGTGATGGCACCCTGCAACATAACCGATCTATCGCCAAATCTGTCATGAGATATCAACTAACCATTGGCTTGATGTTCGCCAGACACAACCACGCCTATCAATGAAGGGCAACGTGAATCGGAATAAATATGACACATGACCGGAGACGATTACCCCAGTTTCGACGTTGTGTACACCATAGACGATTGTTGGCAATATGACGATTTGTAAGGGTGGGCAAAACACGTGGCCGTCGAACATGGAGATAAGCTGCGTGAAGAGATGATTTCTAATCGTCTGACCCTTAACTCGTACTCCAGTAACCTGATGATGCAGCAGTTTGATTCACCGTTTGAATTCACCAATTATCAGTACATCTTCCATATTTCAGATGAGGTTCCATCTGTTGATGAAACAACATGTGTTGTCTTGCAAAATAGCCATAGAATGTTCTAAAAAGTTATTCAGCGAGAGCTACTGAACGTTTTCGGCTTTTGACAAATCTACAAAAATTTAAGATAGCCAACTTCAAGATGGCCGACACGTTTTCTAAATATATGTTTATTAATGCAGTATCATTATAGTCCGCGGTCAAGGTATGAATCTGTTTTTTTTTAGGATTTAGTTACACCCCGACCACGATCAAGAACGGGGAACGTATGAGCACATCCAAGGCGTTCCTGTGGCCTGTGATAGACAGACCCAACCTGCACGTCCAGGCCAACAGTCACGTCACGAAGGTAGTGTATGAAAACAATCAACTATTTTGTATTCATACTTAACGTTTCTGTTGAAACATATATAAATGAAGGCGTGGTAATCATAAACTTACAGAAATGACTTTAGTAATAAGCTACAGTTAAAGTCTAATCACACATTACCAATCAAATGGTACCCCATTTTATTACAGATAATGATTGAAAACAAGAAAGCAGTTGGCGTCGAGTATGTTAAAGATGGCCGCCTGTACAGAGTGCGAGCCTCAAGGGAGGTAATCCTGTCTGCTGGTGCGGTTGGGTCGCCACAGTTGCTGATGCTGTCTGGGATCGGGCCAAAGAAACACTTGGAGGATAATGGGGTCTGTTGATTCACGTTATAAACTACACAATAATAGACTTTTGTATATTGTTTTTGTTACAATGTATATCGTTAATAGTCCAGCTATACGACCGTTGTCTGTTAGATAATCGAGTCTGAACCTGACTCACTCGTGCTTCAAACTTTCGGTGTTGTTGTGAAGAGGACGGACATTCAACCAAGTTACTTATTAACACATAATGAGCGAAATACCTGCTCTGACCTCACAAACACAGCAGTGAGCGGATTTTCAGTTCAGACAAGATGAACTGAGCTGCGTTTTCAGATCAGACATTCAGGTATATGAAGTAACTGGAGGAGCCGGGTCAGACAAGCAGGTATCTGAAGCGAGTGGAGTTGCCAGGTCAGACATGTACGTATATGAAGTGAGTGGAGTTGCCAGGTCAGACATGCAGGTATATGAAGTGAGTTGAGCTGCGAGGGCAGACATGCATGTATATGAAGTGAATTGAGTTGCGAGGTCAGACATGCAGGTATATGAAGTGAGTTGAGTTGCGAGGTCAGACATGCAGGTATATGAAGTGAGTGGAGTTGCGAGGTGAGACATACATGTATATGAAGTGAGTGGAGTTGCCAGGTCAGACATGTACGTATATGAAGTGAGTGGAGGTGACAGGTCAGACATGCAGGTATATGAAGTGAGTTGAGTTGCGAGGTCAGACATGCATGTATATGAAGTGAGTGGAGTTGCCAGGTCAGACATGTACGTATATGAAGTGAGTGGAGTTGCCAGGTCAGACATGCAGGTATATGAAGTGAGTTGAGTTGCCAGGTCAGACATGCAGGTATATGAAGTGAGTTGAGTTGCGAGGTCAGACATGCAGGTATATGAAGTTAGTGGAGTTGCGAGGTCAGACATGCATGTATATGAAGTGAGTGGAGTTGCCAGGTCAGACATGCATGTATATGAAGTGAGTGGAGTTGCCAGGTCAGACATGCAGGTATATGAAGTGAGTGGAGTTGCCAGGTCAGACATGTACGTATATGAAGTGAGTGGAGTTGCCAGGTCAGACATGCAGGTATATGAAGTGAGTTGAGTTGCGAGGTCAGACATGCAGGTATATGAAGTTAGTGGAGTTGCGAGGTCAGACATGCATGTATATGAAGTGAGTGGAGTTGCCAGGTCAGACATGCATGTATATGAAGTGAGTGGAGTTGCCAGGTCAGACATGCAGGTATATGAAGTGAGTTGAGTTGCCAGGTCAGACATGCCGGTATATGAAGTGAGTGGAGTTGCGAGGTCAGACATGCATGTATATGAAGTGAGTGGAGTTGCGAGGTCAGACATACATGTATATGAAGTGAGTGGAGTTGCCAGGTCAGACATGTACGTATATGAAGTGAGTGGAGTTGCCAGGTCAGACATGCAGGTATATGAAGTGAGTTGAGTTGCGAGGTCAGACATGCAGGTATATGAAGTTAGTGGAGTTGCGAGGTCAGACATGCATGTATATGAAGTGAGTTGAGTTGCCAGGTCAGACATGCATGTATATGAAGTGAGTGGAGTTGCCAGGTCAGACATGCAGGTATATGAAGTGAGTTGAGTTGCCAGGTCAGACATGCCGGTATATGAAGTGAGTGGAGTTGCGAGGTCAGACATGCATGTATATGAAGTGAGTGGAGTTGCCAGGTCAGACATGCAGGTATATGAAGTGAGTGGAGGTGACAGGTCAGACATGCAGGTATATGAAGTGAGTGGAGTTGCCAGGTCAGACATGCAGGTATATGAAGTGAGTGGAGGTGACAGGTCAGACATGCAGGTATATGAAGTGAGTTGAGTTGCGAGGTCAGACATGCAGGTATATGGAGTGAGTGGAGTTTCCAGGTCAGACATGCAGGTATATGAAGTGAGTGGAGTTTCCAGGTCAGACATGCAGGTATATGAAGTGAGTGGAACTGCCAGGTCAGACATGCAGGTATATGAAGTGAGTGGAGTTTCCAGGTCAGACATGCAGGTATATGAAGTGAGTGGAACTGCCAGGTCAGACATGCATATATATGGAGTGAGTAGATATGCCAGGTCAGACATGCAGGTATATGAAGTGATTTGAATTGCCAGGTCAGACATGCAGGTATATGAAGTGAGTGGAGTTTTCAGGTCAGACATGCAGGTATATGAAGTGAGTGGAACTGTCAGGTCAGACATGCAGATATATGGAGTGAGTAGATATGCTGGGTCAGACATGCAGGTATATGAGGTGAGTGGAGTTGCCAGATCAGACATGCAGGTATATGAAGTGAGTGGAATGGCCAGATCAGACATGCAGGTATGTGAAGTGAGTGGAGTTTCCAGGTCAGACATGCAGGTATATGAAGTGAGTGGAGTTTCCAGGTCAGATATGCCGGAATATTAAGTGAGTGGAACTGCCAGGTCAGACATGCATGTATATGGAGTGAGTAGAGATGCCGGGTCAGACATGCAGGTATATGAGGTGAGTAGAGACGCCAGATCAAACATGCAGGTATATAATGTGAGTGGAATGGCCAGATAAGACATGCAGGTATATGAAGTGAGTGGAGGTGACAGGTCAGACATGCAGGTATATGAAGTGAGTGGAGTTGCCAGATCAGACATGCATGAATATGAAGTGAGTGGAACTGCCAGGTCAGACATGCAGGTATATGAGGAGAGTAGAGAAGTGAGTTGAGTTGCCAGGTCAGACATGCAGGTATATGAAGTGAGTAGAGTTGCCAGATCAGACATGCAGGTATATGAAGTGAGTGGAATGGCCAGATCAGACATGCAGGTATATGAAGTGAGTGGAGTTTCCAGGTCAGACATGCAGGTATATGAAGTGAGTGGAGTTGCCGGGTCAGACATGCAGGTATTAAAGTGAGTGGAACTGCCAGGTCAGACATGCAGGTATATGGAGTGAGTAGAGATGCCGGGTCAGACATGCAGGTATATGAGGTGAGTAGAGTTGCCAGATCAGACATGCAGGTATATGAAGTGAGTTGAGTTTGCAGGTCAGACATGCATGTATATGAAGTGAGTGGAGTTGCCGGGTCAGAGATGCAGGTATATGAAGTGAGTGAAGTTGCCGGGTCAGACATGCCGGTATATGAAGTGAGTGGAGTTGCCGGGTCAGAGATGCAGGTATATGAAGTGAGTGGAGTTGCCAGGTCAGACATGCATGTATATGAAGTGAGTAGAGTTGCCAGATCAGACATGCAGGTATATGGAGTGAGTGGAGTTGCCAGATCAGACATGCAGGTATGTGAAGTGAGTGGAGTTTCCAGGTCAGACATGCAGGTATATGAAGTGAGTGGAGTTGCCGGGTCAGACATGCATGTATATGGAGTGAGTAGAGATGCCGGGTCAGACATGCAGGTATATGAGGTGAGTAGAGACGCCAGATCAAACATGCAGGTATATAATGTGAGTGGAATGGCCAGATAAGACATGCAGGTATATGAAGTGAGTGGAGGTGACAGGTCAGACATGCAGGTATATGAAGTGAGTGGAGTTGCCAGATCAGACATGCATGAATATGAAGTGAGTGGAACTGCCAGGTCAGACATGCAGGTATATGAGGAGAGTAGAGAAGTGAGTTGAGTTGCCAGGTCAGACATGCAGGTATATGAAGTGAGTAGAGTTGCCAGATCAGACATGCAGGTATATGAAGTGAGTGGAATGGCCAGATCAGACATGCAGGTATATGAAGTGAGTGGAGTTTCCAGGTCAGACATGCAGGTATATGAAGTGAGTGGAGTTGCCGGGTCAGACATGCAGGTATTAAAGTGAGTGGAACTGCCAGGTCAGACATGCAGGTATATGGAGTGAGTAGAGATGCCGGGTCAGACATGCAGGTATATGAGGTGAGTAGAGTTGCCAGATCAGACATGCAGGTATATGAAGTGAGTTGAGTTTGCAGGTCAGACATGCATGTATATGAAGTGAGTGGAGTTGCCGGGTCAGAGATGCAGGTATATGAAGTGAGTGAAGTTGCCGGGTCAGACATGCCGGTATATGAAGTGAGTGGAGTTGTCGGGTCAGAGATGCAGGTATATGAAGTGAGTGGAGTTGCCAGGTCAGACATGCAGGTATATGAAGTGAGTAGAGTTGCCAGATCAGACATGCAGGTATATGGAGTGAGTGGAATGGCCAGATCAGACATGCAGGTATGTGAAGTGAGTGGAGTTTCCAGGTCAGACATGCAGGTATATGAAGTGAGTGGAGTTGCCGGGTCAGACATGCCGGTATTAAAGTGAGTGGAACTGCCAGGTCAGACATGCAGGTATATGGAGTGAGTAGAGATGCCGGGTCAGACATGCAGGTATATGAGGTGAGTAGAGTTGCCAGATCAGACATGCAGGTATATAATGTGAGTGGAATGGCAAGATAAGACATGCAGGTATATGAAGTGAGTTGATTTTGCAGGTCAGACATGCATGTATATGAAGTGAGTAGAGTTGCCAGGTCAGACATTCAGGTATATGAAGTGAGTGGAGGTGACAGGTCAGACATGCAGGTATATGAAGTGAGTGGAGTTGCCACGTCAGACATGCAGGTATATGAAGTGAGTGGAGGTGACAGGTCAGACATGCAGGTATATGAAGTGAGTGGAGGTGACAGGTCAGACATGCAGGTATATGAAGTGAGTGGAGTTGCCGGGTCAGACATGCAGGTATATGAAGTGAGTGGAGTTGCCGGGTCGGAGATGCAGGTATATGAAGAGAGTGGAGTTGCCGGGTCAGAGATGCAGGTATATGAAGTGAGTGGAGTTGCCAGGTCAGACATGCAGGTTTATGAAGTGAGTGGAGTTGCCGGGTCAGACATGCAGGTATATGAAGTGAGTTGAGTTGCCAGGTCAGAGATGCAGGTATATGAAGTGAGTGGAGTTGCGAGGTCAGAGATGCAGGTATATGAAGTGAGTGGAGTTGCCAGGTCAGACATGCAGGTATATGAAGTGAGTGGAGTTGCCGGGTCAGACATGCAGGTATATGAAGTGAGTGGAGTTGCCGGGTCAGACATGCAGGTATATGAAGTGAGTGGAGTTGCCAGGTCAGACATGCAGGTATATGAAGTGAGTGAAGTTGAAAGGTCAGACATGCAGGTTTATGAAGTGAGTGGAGTTGCCAGGTCAGACATGCAGGTATATGAAGTGAGTGGAGTTGCCAGATCAGAGATGCAAAACTAGTCAAGTGCCACACTGACACAACGTACAAAGTGAACAAAGTGTCCTCGTGATTACATGGTTATTTGAATATGGATGCTTCAGATCAAAGTTGAAGCTAACCTCGCCGTTGGGGACAACCTCCAGGACCACCTTATGACATACCACAGGGCCGTCATAGGAGAACCCTTATCCATCACACCAGAGAAGGCCTCGTCAATCAAGTCGAATCTGCAGTACAAGTTTTTTGGCACAGGTCGGATTAGCAGAGATTGTTATGACATGAAAAGTATCACATTTATTTCCTGAATTGATTTCATTAAAGGTCTTTTCCTCACTGGTCAGGAATATATACTATAGCTATCTTGTACTCGTATAAAATATACTCATATCTGTAGATGAATAAGACAAAGGAGGTAGTCACTCCTGCTTGTAGCCACAGGTAGTCTGGGTCGGTGACATGCATTGGTTGCGGTGCGTGTCATCGTACTCCAGCGGCGTGGAACGCTACTCATGATATCGATCAGGTCTAGACATGCTTATTTGGAGACCGACGTCAAATAGCTGGAGTACTGCTCAGTGCGACGTTAAACAACAACAATAACAACAACAACACGCCCTGTGGCGACAGTTATGCCGATAGTCACATCCTCAAGTCGGCAGCTGGTCTGTCAACACTTGTCGATTGGATAATACACACCAGGGGCTGCTGAATAAGCAACAATTCCAGCCACCAAGCTGGAATACAGCTTTAGTGTTCTGACGAAGGATATTCTCAAGTTAAATTCGCTATGTTAAATCATCCTCGTCGTGCGTGTATCGAGAGGAGAGACAAGATATTGATCCCCAGTCATTTATCGTCATTGCATCTTCACTATCCATTCATCAGTTCCCTTATTTGTTGTTGGTATTATGTATATATATCATCCTGTATGGGTTTCACCCGTGAAGATCCGGGGTCGAATAGGTCTTCAGCAACCCATGCTTGTCGTAAAAGGCGACTATGCTTGTCGTAAGAGTCGACGAACGGGATCGGTGGTCGATTATTTACAGACCGCCGTTAAATAGCTGGAATATTGCTGAATGCGGCGTAAAACAACCAGCCAACCAACCCAAGGCTACCCAGATTGCTTTGGACGTTGCTTAGTACTAAACACTGCTTGACTGTCCCGTATCCTACTTATTGACAGACTGAAAACTTCTGGCTATGGTGCAAACATCATTCACTGACCCACTGAGATGAACATGTGACACCCCAGTAATCTACTTTGGGGTCATGGACTCTCTTTTATATGTTTGTGTTATATTTCCTCTACCAGGGGTCCTTGCTTCAAATCTCGGTCTAGAAGTGCTTGCCTTCCTGAAAACTAAGCCAGATGAAGTCAGGCCGGATCTCCAGCTTCACTTCTATTCCTTACTGCTACCGTCGGGACCGCCAAACTATTTCAACATTGCAAACAAGGTAGAGTATGACATGTTTTGTGAGAAAGGAACATGCAACACCAGCCGGGAACCTCTTATTTATGTTTTCATTATTTCACAGCTCATGGATCGTATGAACTGGACGGCAAGAGAAGGCTTTACCGTTCTTCCAAGCTTACTCCGACCAAAGAGTAGAGGGACAATCCGCCTGAGAAGCACCAACCCCTTTGAGCATCCTGTCATCGAGCCCAACTACCTGTCTCATCCCGATGATGTCCAAACGCTCATAAGAGGTCAGTGTGCGGGACCGACATTTTTGGGATCGGATTTGATTATTTTTGTCTAAAACACAACAGCAATTGTCCTCGATGTTTAGCTGTTTTAACATCGCCGCGATCGTGACTCGTATAACGTACATGGTTTCAAAGACATGCACAAAGCTATAGTAACTTGCCTCAATATAAGTGTCATGTCTGAGGGAAATCAACTCCAGACAAAAAATAAGGGAACTAACGATTGAATGTATTTACCGTCGAAGCGTACTTTGACAATACCTAAACGCAACGTCTAATCACAATGAAATTTCACATAATTTATTAACAGCGCGTGATGTATATGCGCACAGAAGCCAAAGTGTGTGCGCCTGTATGGGAACTCACAAACACTAATGCAATTGGGCTGAGCAAATGCTTAAGAATGCCATGTCAATGAAAAGACGGGGCTGAGAGTGTACGCCACAATATTGCTGAGTGCGGCGTCTCAAAACAAAGGAACAGACAAACATACCAGTAGTTGGCCCTTTACTCGTAGCAGGTGACTTGCGGATTCTTGCATGGATAACGACGATCTCTGAAGGTCTAATTTGGGCACCTCAAACTACATGGCATTCTCAATGTTAAGGATATAACTTATAATATTTAAACCGATTATCTTAAACGGCAAGTATAGTGATAAAAGTGATTGTGATATTGCTGTGAATATCAATTGCCTTGGATATATTAAGTCACTTCCCTAGTGAAATAATCACATTCGTAGAAAGTATTTAAATGTCCAAGTGAAAGTGCTGAAATCGCACGCTCTGTAATCAGATTCCAAAAAAAACTATTTAGGGGCGTGGCTAATATTTACCCTCCTAACGGGGCAGCGGTGCGTGAAAAATGTTTTAATTGGCTGATATGTAGACTTGTGATGCTCAGTAGCTATATGGATAGTCCAAGAAGCGGTTTTCTGTTAATCTTACAAACATAAAGTGCATACATTGCTGGGTGTGTGAAACGACCTTTGATCTTGACATTATGAATAGTTAAAATATCAATTAATGTCTTTAACAAAATTTAATGTCTAACATCCTGTTTTGGAACCATATACGGCGACTTCCTACATGTACCTGTCCAGCAGCTGGCCAATGGATAATCCCCATCGCTTTTGTTTATGCCATATAAATCCGTTCGTACGTACATCCAGTATAGGTTTACTTTAAAATATAAAATAGATAAATGATATGAAGAATGAGCACTGTACAACATATGGACTTATTTCTCAAATTTCAATTTAATATTTCCTTTTACATGACTGCAGTGCAACAAGCTGTGAATCAGCTTTGTGATTACCGTTCACTGGTTTATGGTTGGCAAGATGTTGTCTCTTCTCCAACTGAGGGCATGGTCTAGGTTTCGAAATTTCTTCTTCTTCTTTGATGATATCAACCTACCAGCTCGAAGCAGGATGGCTGTGGTCTGAGTATTGTCCTGCTCAACCTGCAGTATCTCAATGGCTTCAGTTTGCTTCATCCAAGTTTCTTCAGTCTCTTCAGTCTCTTGAATGCCACCCCTCCAAATGATTCCCGTGGTTGTGATTTGCCAGGAACTTATCAAAAGGGGTCGTTGGAGTATGGTTGTGCTTCGTGACGAATTCATCTTTGGTGTTTAGGGTGGCCGGACATTCTCTTTGAGAACATTTCCAATGAATGAGAGTTCAGCGTGTGGTCTTGATCCTGAACTTGTATCCGTCAAAAACCAAGTGATGATCCCAAAAGAATTGGGAAATATCTCATCAACATGTATATTAGCCAAAGTGGAACACAGCTACCGGTCTGTAATTCCTTTCATTATCCAAAGCATTCCAAATCATTAATGTTACATATGTTTCATGCCATATAGTGCATGTGAATATAGTTCGCCAATTAGTTGTGTCATATGTGAGATGCCCCCTTTTATCTCCTGTATTCCAATCACCACGTTCGGGTGAATTTTGTACTTGTAACAACATGAGCTGGACAAGAAGGAAGACCCCACATGAACCACCTGATGCTCTCCGTCCTATTCAACAAAATGAATGCCTGTCAGGGATTAATTCCCTGAGTACCACAACTGAAGGCGTCTTCAATGTTGTTAAAGTTGACATGAGTTGTGGACACGGTAATCAAACAGACGATGAGCAGACAGAAAAAGCACCGTAAAGTGACGAAATCGAGTGAGAAGCAGGCAGACTGGGCCCTGGCCAGATCGTTGAAATTCCGCAGCACGTTAAACGCTAAACGTTTGAACCCCAGGGGAATCCCCTTAGTGGCAGATGTTGTCGTTTGGGGAACGATTACGCTTGTCTCTTTTTTTTTTTACCATCTGTTTTACACTATTTCCCTTTTTTCAAATCTAGATTGGTATTTGTGATTCAGTATGCCTTAAAGTATTGAAGTCTGCAAAGTTGCTATGTTGCGTTTACTTGCTCTTTATCAAAACATGTACGCATGCAAGCTATATATGTCACCAACATGACCGGACGTTTTGAATAAGATCCGGGTTCGATTTGGTCATCAAAAACCCATACTTGCCGTAAGAGACGACTAAAGTGATCGGGTAGCCAGGCTCGCTAACTTGGTTGATGCATATCACACTGTATCTCAATGGCATAGATCGATGCTCATGATGTCAATCACTTGAATGTCTGGTCCAGACTTGCCTATTTACAGGTCATCGTCATACAGCTGTAATATTGCTGAGTGTGTCGTTATACAATAAACAGACATACAAAACACGATGTGACATTTTGATGAAGATACAGTGGGTGTTTTATGTTGCAGGTATTCGGATTTCACAGAAATTGTTACGGACAAAAAGCTTGAAGGATATTGGTACGGAACCAGATATGACGCCTTGTCCGACATGCGTTGATGTGGAATATGACACAGACGCATACTGGGAATGCCATGTACGGGCTATACCAATGACAATTTACCATCCAGTCGGTACCTGCAAGATGGGAAGTGTACGCGATTCTTCAGCTGTTGTGGATTCTAAGCTGAGGTTAGTAGTTCTGTGATTTCTATATTCTTTCCGTCTACCATGACACCTGTAGAAGAACAATGATTAATTGGTTCCATCGCTTGTTTACAGGGTGAAGGGTATTTCTGGACTACGAGTCGTGGACGCCTCTGTCATGCCGACCATCGTGTCAGGAAACACAAACGCCCCGACCATCATGATTGCAGAGAAGGCGGCGGACATGATACGAGAGACATAAAGCGAATATAGTCATAACTTAAGTAACAAGAGAGGTGGCAATATCTAGTACCCTCGAATTTCTTACCCATATGGTCGGTACCCATTACGATCAGTAGCTGTAGTGATTGATACCCTTACTAAACCCATAGAGGTGATACTGGTGCCCCTACTTGATCAGTATTACTGGTCGTCAGTACCTCAAGATAGCATTCAGCAGACCTAGCACATGTAAACCCTAGAGAACAACAGAACAACAGACCTGAGATAAGTTCCTCCAGAAAAAAGGTAGTCCTTGAGATCAGTACTCCAGGGGGTAGTGATGGCCGGTTATCATGAAATGTGCGACACATAATCTGAGGTCATCAGGGTACAAAATCTGAATTTAGAGGGCCTTTACATGAGTTAGTACTTCTACCTGAAGACAGGGTCAGCACTGTAACAGAGGTACGAGTGCAGCTGTAAGTTGATATGATAAACAGACCCACAAAAATTATTTCTCGCAACGCCATCGTGCGATTCCGACTGTATCATAAGCATGTGTTTATGAATCACTAGGAGAACCACTGTGACTGAGACACTGTATTCCTGTCTGTTTGTGATTGGCACATACGCCCAGTCTCCCCCAAAATGCGAAGTCATAGATATTTGCATATTGCTATTAACACAGTTCAGCTTCATCACTTCACTTATTGTTGATTTGGAGCGCCTGTCCTGAAGGCTGCACACAGCGTCTTTAGTCGATACATATTACAAATTCTTCAAGATATGAAGGTGTGATTCTGACATTTCTAATTTGAAAGATATTTATGGAATTGTGAACTTACTGATATGAGTATTATTGGAAGTTTTTTATTATCTAATTTTCATTCTAATAATCCGTACGTTACTGATATCATACAAATAAATATATTACATTTTTGTATGTTTGTTTTTTATTTGTTTAACGACTCAGCAATATATATTGTTCATAGTATCAAAGTTTAATCAACAATATCAAGAGCAGCAATTTAAACTACAGAAATACCCAAACACAAGGCTGTTATAAAGCGCTAGTGCAGACGTGATGCATCGTAAAAAAAGTATCGTGATGTCTTCAGAAATACAATTTCTTGCAACATTATACTACGAGATAGTAAGCCTAACGCTCACTCACCGGTGGAACGTAGGCAATATCGCTAATACAGATATCGCGTATTTGAATGTTGATACTAAAGACAAACACTCATTATTTTTGCAGTGACGATATAACACTTATACACGTTTATTGGTTACTTTCATCAGTTTTGCTATTCATGTTTATAACTTTGTTTTCACTTATACAAGTAGCAATACCCGACAAGCCTGTCATACATACTTATGTGGCAGTTTTCTATCTTGCACTGACTTACTCTGGTGTTCCTGGGCGAAGCGTATTGGCTTGGGTGTTATACCCTGTTTTTTCTGGTAATCCCATTATTACTTGATTTTTATCTAATGACACCCTGTTCTCTGGATCACGGTTCCGTGACTATCCATAACAATTAAGATGAACATTCAGTTCAAGTACATGAATGAGTTTGTTTTGACACCACAGTCAATCAAAGACCAATGCTGAGAGGTTTGATTACACACTTCTACCAAGTCGAACATCGTGGATCTTTATTTTCTACCTAAAGAGAATCATAGTTCATATGCTAATCCATCTACGAAAGCCGTCCCGCTCAAGATGACCTTACTTGTTAAATCCATCATCTATCCCCCACTCTCAGCCCCCCCACCCCCCACCCACCCACCCCACCCCACCCCACATACACGCACGCACGCACGTACACACACACACACACACACACACACACACACACACACACACACACACACACACACACACACACACACACACACACACACACACAGACATACACACACACACGGACCTAAATAACCTGGACAGGAAATACTGCTGATAGCCTCTGGTCAACACGTAGCGCTACACCAGAATGTTCGTCCAACTCAGCAGGGGGCATTCTCAGTAGCTTCAAACGCGCAGAAATGTTTTCGCCTTGCATCCAAGATGGTGGACACGTGAAATCGTATGATATTTGGCTATTTTAGGTCGCTATGTCTTTTTGGATTACCCAATAAAGGCAATTCATGGTTACACAGTTGTGAAGAAGCTAACAACTTTATAACACTTATTCATCTCCATCTCCAATAGAGCTACTCGTACTGACATAAATTGTAGTTATTATGTCACTGTTTTATTTCTTTAAAAATATATTACGTGTTGATCAATAACAATTAAGATGAACATTCAATTTCCGATACAAGTAAATGAATAAGTGTGTTTTACCCCACAATCAGTCAAAGACCAAAGTTGTCCGGTTTGATGACACACAATCTACCACATATGGATTACCCCCACTGGGCCCACTTTTGAGTTTGGATCTTATAACAACAAAGGATTAAGGGATTAGGCCGTATCACCATCAGGGTTGCAGTACCCACTATGCCACAGTGCATGTATAGACCCATGAATATACTAGTATATTGAAATAAGCATACACAAGAATGTAAATAATGATTTATTATTGGCAAAATAAAAACATATTGTACAACAATCCAAGCACAATTATGTGTACAAAATCATTCTACATGACTTGTACAATTATGTGTACATTATGTTCACCCGATCCCCATTTAAGTCTCCTCTGTGTGGAGATTCCTGCCTAAAAGGCCCCATGTATCTGGGAATCTCATTAATACATTCATGCGCGGCATTCTCTACCTTAAGAAGAGCATAGTTAACATGCTTATCCAACTCGAACTACCATCCCGCTCAAGATGAATGTTTTATGTACACACACACACACACACACACACACACACACACACACACACACGCACACGCACACGCACACACACACACACATCGCTATAAAAGTGCAATAATCGTGGACGCGACGTTAAACCCCATTTCACCTCACCTCACTGTGCAATTTGTAATTGCGACCACCATGTTCCAATCGTCTCAGTGATCAAACGATTTGGAAGTAATTGTAACTTGTGTAAACTGCCGGGCAAAAGTAAGTATACACCCATGTTTGATGGTGGTTAAAAATGAAACAAACAATAAATTGTTATTCGATGGAGATACATTTGCTTCGGGTATCTTAGGCGATACTACATGCATCATATCAATTAGTGTCTCACAACAGGTGACGTGCACATGAAGTCTTAAGGAACACGGGGGTCGCAATTTCACAGTACACAGGAGTGATATTAGAATTGCAGGCATTTTTTTGCCCGGTTGTGTATGCATATCCTGGGAATATAATTCTAAACAGTTTGAGAATTGGTGTCGTTATTTTCTTTTACTGTTCTAATATATTTGATACTGAACAGCAGTAAAGAATAGTTTCCTAGACAGAAAGCATGATCTATGAAACGGTTTCTGGTAGTTAGTAACACTCTTTGGACGACATCCAACTCGTGTCTGCAATCCGACTATCCCCTCTCCCTGGTAAGTTACATCATGTCAAGGTCTTTGTGTGTCAAGGACGTAAGAAAATTAGCTGATGCCCGATGCTGAAGGACCGTGTTCACAGCTGACCGACTTGGTATTTTTCTACACTGCCAGAAACTGGATATACTGACACACAGCTATTATAGATATTTAAATAACCCCTGATCAAATAGATGCCATTCGTTAATATCTGTGTGGAGTACCATATATACCTGTGATAACGATACCGGTGGCGATGCTGATGCTGATGCTGATGCTGGTGGTGATGATAATGATGGTGACGACGATGATGATGGTGATGGTGATGATATGCTTATATCCTTGCATTTTACAGTTGTGATAAACATTATCTGTGATTGCAAACTTTAACATTTGAAAAATGAAAACACATATAGTTGATCATATGATCAAAGCCGCTGGCGTTGCCTAGTGGTAAACGCTTTCGCTCCTCGTGCCGAAAGTCCAGGTTCGATTCTCTGCATATCATAGGCTGAATGTGGGAATCCCCCGCCGTGATATTGCTGGAAAATTGCTAAGGCGGCGTAAAATCCGACTCACTCACAAACTCTCATAAATCACTGTGCCATTGCTAACCAAGGTTCTGCAGATGGCACCCGAGTATGTCCAGATTCAACTCTCGGTTGGTCTTCTTCCATTTTATCTCACTAGGTGGCGCTACTGGCCTCGCTAGGTCGTTCATTCATCCACAGGCATTCATACATGAATGGCGGCACTTTCTTAAAGCGGTTGTCAAGTAGGGGTTTATGTCATGGGAAGTTGATCTCAACTGAGTCCAGCAGTCCTGCTTTTATCTGATCCATTGTCTTTCTACGCCATTGTATCGTTGCTAGTGGTACCAGTTACCAGTTTGGGGCTAAACGAAGCATTGACGAAGCAAAGAGTTTAATCAGACGTCTCCTTGAGGGAGACTGGTATCACTACTGTCATCCCTGGCGATAAGAAATATGGCATTGCATACCAGGCCAGCAGTTAGACGTATCAACGTACAGTCGTAAATTCTCCTCAGGGTAATATATATCTTGTACGTGTGTAAACAGGGTGTGTTTGGTAACTTGTGTAGGAAGCACAAGTGCAACGGGGATGTTATTTCAGATGACAAATGAAAGAAGACAGAATGATTGTGACGCACATTTAGTGCCTGGTGGCCGTGTTAATTTTTTATCATTCGCCAACACACACACACACTCACACATACACGCTCGCGTACGCAGGCACGCACGCACTCACGCACGCACGCACGCACGCACGCACACACACATTGTGAGTTACCAATCCCTGATTTGAGAAGACTTGCTTTACGAAGCTCCTTCAAGTCGTTATCAATATCCGTAAAAGTCTGTGATATTATAACCCATCCAAAGCCGAATATACATTTATTGTGCTTTCATGACAACACATGTTATAATTGGGATAGCACTTTCTTAGTAAAGTACAGATGCTAGTACGTTTTGGGGTTGAGTCCCGTCCGAGATTTGAACCTACACTGTGACTGAGGCACCCAATCACCAGCACACAAAGTCCGCGATCTAACGAAGCCTCCGAGGCTTCCACCCAAAATAAAAGTCCGACAACTGTTAGTCCAGATCGCGTACTTTGTGTACCCCTCTGACAAGTGCAAAATGGCACGGTTTCCATGGCCGAAAGCATCGAACACACAATGCCATTAAGAACGTGGTCAAATGTAACAAGTGTTACATTTGGATAACACTTTCTCAGTAAAGTACAAATTCTCGTACTTTTAGGGTTGAGATAATAGACGTTGATGGTTGATTATCAACGGACAGATTAAAGCCAAAACTTAACTTATGAATTATTGTTAATGGACAATGGACAATGGGCAAACGTGAGGCCGGGTTAATTAGTGCCAGTTACCTGTTGGCTTCCCTTTTTACGTTTCCTCCTTTGCTATCTTTTTACTTTTGTTGTTCTTACAGGTACTTATATATGTTCTCTGCCTCATAGCGTTAATTCACCTGACGAAGGAGTAAGCATATACTCCGAAACGTTGTGTTCTTCATAATAAAGACGTTGACATCCATACATTTTCTTCCTTGTGTGTATCACTTCTTAATCCCCTCAAAGCCTCAATCTAGCTTTGTTTTTAAATGTGGAGATATTTGCCTGGAATATAATATGGTCATGCCTATAAACATTTGGGTCTTTGTCTACATGAGCATTTAGCCATACATTTTATAGCTAAGGAAATTGCTAAAACTATAAACACTTTATAGCAGGCTGTGATCTTTATTCACACTTCAGATATTCGTAATGGAGATCTGTAACTGAAGTTTATCTAAATTTTCCGCAACTCTCACCTCCTGACCAGTTGAACGTCTCAGTGCATTCTGATGCCACTGTAAAATTCCAGGCTGCCCTTCTTTCCCTGATATTTTGA